TCCATTAAAATATCAAACTCAGTGGTACTAATATTTAATTTCCGAATTACTCATTGAATTACCCTTTCTTCATAAATTTGTCTGACTTCTTGATTAGGAATTGACAACTCGTAAACACCAGATTTATTAGTTGGTTTGGGGTTTAAATAGCCCGCAAAAACCAAGAGGCTACAAAATACTCTTTTTCTTTCTTCTTTTTTTTCCTCTTTAATTTGTTCAAAAGCAATCTCTCTACATAATAGTTTAGTTACGCTTTGGCCTGCCAAAAGAGTTTGGAGGTCTTCTTGAATATCGTCAGAAAGTAGGGCTTGGTCTATCAGGCCAGTGCTTCCGGTGTTTATTCAATAAGTATCAATTCTTCCTTTGCGAGTCAAACAACGCATAACGGACAAAGGATTATAAACAGTTTGTTCACCGAAGTTATAGCCATTATACCAGTCCTTGATTTCCTTGATTTGTTCGGGGGTGATTCAGAATAATTTCTGACTTATCAAAAAGTCAATTTCTCCCTGAGTAAATCCATAATATTCACCAAATTCCGGATCGAGAAGAGTATATTCCCCCACATTATTCAAACCAGAAAATATATTGGCCTTGGCTACACGGTAAATACCAGTTAAAACGGCTTTTTTCAAGTAAGTTACATCTTTTAGGGCAGCACTTAATATTTCCCTAATAAGTTCCAGTACTTTTTTAAATTCTTCTGATTCGTAACCAAACTTAACATATGCGTCGTTGATGGTTTCATCATATTCATCAACTAAAATAACGATTTCTTTTTTAAAATGCTTATAAAGTAGTTCACTTAAAAAACGTAAACTATATTTTAGATCGGTTTCGTCAATGTCTCCACTTAGGTACTTATGCAATCGCTTTTTTTCTGATACTTCTAAAAAGTCATTGTCTGGGGTTAAATATTTCCTAAGATGGCGATGTTTAACAAAGGCTTCAAACACTTGAATTTTCACTTTGCTTTCCACTTCTTTGTAATTACCCCCCCTAGTATTTTTTAAACTGAAAAAAATTACAGGATATTTTCCTAGTTCTTCCATCGAATCCTGATCCTTACTGATTTTCAAAGGAGGTAAATACCTTTCTTTTGCTCCCGATTTCACTTTGCCGCCAATGAAAAGTTTGGGGTGGGCTTTTTCTTTGGGAGACAACTCTTTTCCTTCTGAATCAACTTCTAATTCAAAGAAGTATTTGAGCATACTCAGGTTTAAACTCTTCCCCCATCTACGAGGTCGAGTGATAAGTAATACTTCGTCTTCATCTTCTAAAACGGTCTTAATCAAAAGCGACTTATCAACGATGACATCGCTTCCTGAACGAAGCTTTTTAAAGTCGCTAGTTCCTACGAGTATTCGCGGATAATTATTTGTTTTATTTAGTTCTGGTTGGTTCATAAGTTAATTTTTCGTAATATTAATTAATGCTTAATCCAGTATTTCGTCCGTCTGAGTAATTTCAGTTAACTTGG